AACAAAAAAAGAGAGAAAAATAATAAATACACCTAGAAAAAAACATTTAAAACTGTACTTTCTTTTTTTCTTCTTTTTTTGTGTGTTTTTTTTAAGTGAAAAAAAGTCATATTAAAAATTATTCGAATTTGAAATTTTAAGGTGAAGGATAAAGTTGCTAAGTGAAATGGGTTTTTTATATTTTTATTTTTCAAATTATAGTTTTCAGGTCACTATGTTAACCTACTTCTTATATTGATATGTCAATTTGTTATGATTTATGTATGTTTAATGTATATTATGGGTTATACTTTCATTCAAACTACATTTTTTTAACTTTTATATTTAACATTTTTAAAGTACTATTTGTACTGTTAGTGAACAAAGTCTAAATTTATACCTTTTATTTTAATGGGAAAACTTTTGGTTCTTTATAAATATAATTTAGTATAGAATCCATATGAAAGTGAACAAAAAATAATCAAGCAACATGTTATATCTCGAACTTAGATTCTTAGTATGTTGTGTAATACTTGGGCACTCGAACGCTAGAACCCTCCCAATTCGGAAAGTGAGAAGATAGAAGACTAGTAATATAGTACAGATAGTACAGAAATCTCATTTATTTATAATTTTTGGCTGAAAGTAAATCATTATTTCCGACAGCCAATAGGCACATAGGGGGTCCTTCCTAATCATCCAATAGGGAAGCTACACGTCGACATTATGGAATGTTCCTCTAGTGGTGATTGGATGGAATGTCTATGGTTCTTTCTAGGCTTCTTGGGGCTTTCTTGAAATTACCAACCATCCATCCTTACACAACATGAATTACTTGTTTGTTAGTAATTAGTAATCTATTTTGGATGGTTTAACTATGATAGACTGTGAGATTGTAATCTAACAGAATGATCAATTGTTATTCAACCATATTGTTTATAATAGGTAACTCTATTACAGTCGTCTACTTCAAATAACAAATTTCTGTATCATCCCACTTTGATATTTATGAATGATGTTAGGTATATCAGTTCCTTAGTTTATGTCTAAATGATTTCATTAAGTTTCTATAAATAACTTGTAAAACTGTGAGATTACCATTTCACTTAAATAACAATCTAGAGTGGATAAATTTAAAATATACAGTTTGATAAGCGGCAAAAACGTCGCCAAAATGGGTACAACATTCAAAAGACAATATATGTTTCTTGCAAACTTTTAAAAAATATATATATATATAAAATTAGTTAGTGATTATCAGTAGAATTCTGAAATTAAGTTTTATCCCATTTCGGGACTAGTCCAAATTTACTTAAAAAAGCATGTACCCTTATGTCAATACTGTGGTTTTCCATTCACAGTAACCATATATGCCAAAAATGAAAATTTTTAATTCCGTTTTTAACATAAATAAACGAGAAGATTTAAAGATGGATAGTGGCTAGCAGTATCTGAGTGGATAACGTGATGACGTCTGAAGCGAAAGGTAGTGAGTTCGAGTCCTAGAGTGAACATCAACTCTAAGATGCAGGTAAATTCAGCTGACGAGTCTCAAATAGGATGAAACGTGTATCCTGGATTCCACTGTTAGTCACTATCCATCTTTTATTTACCAAATTGTTTATGATTTATAAGTATTCCTGGTAAGACTATAATTTATGGATGACCTTTGAGCGATACTAAAGTGAACTTGAGAATGTTCATCTAATTACTAGAACTAAATGTGAGTTATAAATCTGCATGAAGAATAAAGATTATAATTTACAACTGATAGTTAAGATTTGGAATCAGATTTAAGGTTTACCATCATGAACTGACATCAGCTAAAGTGTCAAAACACTATTTATCTAAATGTATGAATGAATTTCACGCCAAAATCCAAGACCTTTTATCCCAAATCGAACTGGTCTGTCCATAAATTATACTCTCACCATATTTCTTATTAGTAAATATATAGAAAAATCTCTAATTCATGTTAAATTGATTCTTGACACTTTAGAACTGAATAACATAACTACAATATTGTACAATTAAAGTGAACCGTCAGTACTGAAGATCTCGCAGATTAAAGGTATACATTCAAGCAAACACTTAGGTTATTGTTATTTTTTATTATTTTACTTAACGGGTAAACCTTTAAAGTTTATTATTTCACATCAGATGGAATTATCAAGGTGAATATTTTAACAAGACCAGATTATGACTTGATAACTGTTTAGTGATCTATTAATTTAAAGAAATATTTGGATTTTCCCATATAAGTCAAACCAGATTGTGTGTTTATTAAATTTAATAAAGTGAAGTGTATCCTGAACTATTATTACAAAAATTATTTAAAATAATTGAAAAGGAAGCACTGGACGGCTGTTTCACCCTACTATGGAACTCCTAAGCAGTGCGCATGCGAGATTCGAACCCAGGACCTATCGGTCTCACACACGAACGCTTAACCTCTAGACTACTGAGCCGGCATCCAACTGTGTTAATGTCTAATTTTAACTAATTCACGAAATTACTCCATCGTCTACCATCGTCGTCAGCGAGTTACTATCTCCCAATAGACCTGGTTGAACTCCAATGGTCACGGCTTCTCACCAGAACTCCAGGAAATACCTCTTGAATCCGGTCGCTAGCAAGAACATGATGACTATTAAAAAGGGGTTTTTGTGGATATTATAGTAATTTTATTAGTTGAATTCATGAGTGAATTAGAGATAGACGACCATGGAAAACGTGGAAGAACTGTAGGGCCGTTACATCCTTGTATGGAACTCCTCATCAGTTGAATGTCGGCTCAGTGGTCTAGAGTTTAAGCATTCCCACGTGAGACCGGAGGTCCTGGGTTTGAACCCTGCAATCAGAGTCGTGGATGCACACTGCTTAGGAGTCCCATACTAGAACGAAACGTCTTTCCAGTCTTCTAGGTTTTTCATGGTTTTCTAGTTTTAATCGACTCATGAACTGAACTTTTAAATTACTATAATCTCCATAAAACTCCCTTTCTGATAATAGTTTAAAGGGCTTAATCGAGTTTCTTAGGTCAGATATAAATGAAATCAGAATGCACAATAAACGATTTCTTAAATGATCATTGTTTCATACTAATAAACACTGATAACTGTCTTGTTTTTAATTATCTACATGTAGGCAATTAGAAGTCAACATTCACTTATATAAAAAAGCCATTGAATTTCAGCTGTAATAAATTTGATTCTATTGTAGTGAATGGAATGTTCCATGGGACATTCTCAAAAAAATTATTATTATTGGATGACCGTCCAGTGCTTCCAGGTTTTCCATGGTGGTCTAGTTTCAATTGACTCATGATTTCAACTACATAAAATTACTAAAATCTCCACAAAACATGCTTCTGATTATTATTATTATTATTATTATTATTATTATTATTATCAATCATTTGATATGCTTTAAACATCTGTTGTAATTCTAAGCTATCTATGGTGGATAGAAATATCCTAATATAAAATCAATTCATTCATTCCTTAAAAAAAACAAGTTTACTAAAGTGTTAAGTTAAATAAGCGTAATATTTTGAGATGGTGGAGAAGATTTGTAGCTCAGGTGGGTGATTTTGATGTTGGTTTGTTCTCTGAGCTGGGTGGTTTGGTCGTGGAGCTTTCATCGTCCTTCTGAACGACATCATCAGCACAAACTTCGGGTAGAAGTGAAGTGCTTGAAGTTTGTGCTGATGATGTCGTTCAGAAAACGATGAAAGCTCCACGACTAAACCACCCAGCTCAGAGAACAAACCAACATCAAAAGCGTAATATTATTAGTAACAAGAATTATGTAATGTGCTTCTTTCTCTCTAGTATTCAATGTGTGTTTCCAGGGTGATGTTTTCTTTTTCATGTGTACGTGATGAGTGCTTGTTTTAATGCCTATACACCATAAATATTTCATTCAATATACTATCCCACTAGTTTTGCATTCATACATCTTCAACTTTTACGTTTGTCTCGTTTGCATACAATTACATCATTAATACATCTTATTATAATTCAATTACTACATTTGACGTCATTGAAATCAAATATTTAAATAACGTTGGAAAGTTGTTCATTGGTAAGCGTACAAGAGAACTGTGAGGTTATACATGGTTTTTCGGAGTTCAATGAAAGTGTTATACCGTTCATTTTATAGGTGAGTGTCGTATATGAGAACGTAATTTCAACTAAGCATCTCACGTTTTGTCATCTAAAGCTAATTACATGCGTTTATTATAAACGCGTCACTGTATTGGGTTCGAACTAAAGGGAGTAAAACTCAAATAAAGTGAAAATTAGGGTTTGAAAATGTGATTTCCACTAAAAATTATGCGCTTATAAGTAACATGTATTCGGTAAATGAACTGGAAAATTTCCGAAAATGCTTGATACGGTATACGCATGGAATGTCCAAAAACAGATGCACTATAAATTCACAGACACGTATCCTTTCTCCCACGGGATGTTGGAGACTATTTCGAATGCTTCAATGCTTCGTACTTATCTTAAAATCTAAAGGGTTATAAACTTTTTGCACATTTAAAGCAATCTTATTCACACACAAGTTTGTGTATGCTAACATTACTTAAGCCTTTGATCTGACTTATTTAGCAGACAGATAGTGCTATTTTAGTTCATAATAATTCTCTTATTTATCATACATATTTGTCCTTATGTTTGTATAAGTGTGTACGTATGATTGAGTGGATATGAGAGTCTATTCGTTTAAGTGCTGATTGCTTAGACTATTGATGATTCATGATACACTAAGATTGTTACCAACACATAATTTCCATCTTCACTGTGATCAGTTCTTTTTCGACATGGAACTGAGGCTGAATATAAATATTATGTATGAAGTAATGGTGAAAAATAACAGTTATTTTCAGTTCTAAATGAAAGAAATATAATCATAATTCTTATATAAATATATCTTCACATTACCATTCTCATTAACGAGGCATGATGTTTTACATAATGATGAAATATAAGGAAATATTTTTTAAAACTTACAACACATGTACGTTTATCAGCAAGTCTTCGATAACCATCTGGGCATATACATTCATATGATCCATAAGTATTAATACATCTATGAATACAACCATGTTCAAAAACAGATTGATCACATTCATTTTTATCTTTTTCACAATAATCCCCTTCAAAATTTGATGTACATATACATTTTCCATTAAAACATTTTCCATTATTTTGACATTTTAAATTACATGATGATTTTAATTCACAACTATGCCCATCTGCTTGAAGTTCATAGTCAGGATCACAACCACAATGATATGTACCATCCTGTTTTTAAAAAAGAAAAAAGAAATCAGTTACACATATCAGTTATGGTTGGAGTCGACTATATAAATAGGAAAGATCTTTTTTTTTATCGATCCAAATTAGTCAGTATGTACTCTAGCTAAACTTGGGTTTATCTAAACACAGTTGTCGACACTCTTGATTGATAAAAATAAGTATGACTGAACATCTACTCAAACAAAGGATTAGTTGCTTGAGCTTTTTCTGTCATTGTAAATTTACAAATTTAGCTACTCCTGTGGAGATAGCTATATTGAGCGTTCTATCAAGCGATTTCAACAATTAATGAGTGAGTTTAGTTATGAAAACTGTCAGACAATGATAATATTTAGCTCTTTCCAGGAACACTTAGTTAACAGAGGGTCTATGGTAGATAAACCAAATCATTTCGAGTGATCTAGCGAATAATTTTGTCATTTCACAGTATGGTTCCATCCCGTTCCCCACAGATAGTAGAAGCTAAAGGAATACGAACCTTTAACCTTAGTTTATGCATCCGGAAGAAATACATGACATCCCTGTCCCTTCTTAGGTCAGATATAACTTAATAAGTATGGGATTTCTTGCAAACAAGTAGAAGCTCAGGGGATTTCGATTTAGAAAAACAGTTCAAATATGTATCTGTCTTATTTGTAATAAATTACTCATTAGATTAGAAACGCCTATTATTAATTGTTAACTAATTGACAAAAATGGGACCTACTAATTTTAGGTTGGCAAATAATTGACTGTTTCTATGATTGTATTAACTTTCTAGAACGTGTAAAGTTATAAATGAACTCATTGGACGTAGAGAGCGTTACCTTGCATAAATATATATACCTCAAGTCATGCCTTTTCCCATGTCAATTCTTAAAATCTTTACACCCATGTAAACTTTCGCCTTCATCAAAAAACTTAAGTCGAGTCATTTCTCTCGATATTCTGTAGCGTATTGTCACCAGGTGATTCAGTGACTTGAATGACAGTGCAGGGAGACGCATTTCGAGAAATTTCATACACATATTTTCCTTGCAAAAATACCATTTCTTGAAACCACAGACATAATTTGTCAGCATTCTGACACCCTAACTCTATCATCATCAGAATTCAAACGACTGTTATGCATGTGTACAAAAAATGTTCAGTTCCAGTTCAACGATATCATATACCGACAAACTGATGGTGTATAAATGGGAAGTCCTGTCCTGTCCTAGCAGACATTTTCATGGCTAACCTCGAAATAATCAAACCCAAAGGAGCGATTAATAAAATGATGTATTATTCAAAGTATGTTGATGATACCTTCATCGTGTGTAATAATCAACAACATGCAATAAATCTGCTGAAAGTTTTCAACGACGCCCATCCAAATATCCAGTTTACTATGGAACATGAAAATGAAAACAAGTTCCATTTTATTGATATCTCAATGAAACGAAGGAAGGATAGCACGGTTCAACGTTCAGTTTATAAGAAAGACATATGGAATGGTGTTTATCTCAATTTCAATAGCTTTTGTTCAATCAGATACAAAAAACCTTGTTAAAACACTGTTTCACAGAACAGAAAGAATATGTACTGCCGATACACTAGAAGAAGAAGTAATGAATATCAAAAAATGTTTAAAGAATAAAGGATACCAACTGAAATTTATTGAGGAACATGTAAAACGTGAAGATAAAGAACCCAAAGAAACCACAACAAAAAAAACTATTTTTATTTAACTTAAATTCAATGGTGATGATGCCATAGGGTCAATTAATACGAGACCTAAAACTGCGTTGACATGAACTTATCCTGCAGCTAAACTGATTGTCCTGTCCAAAACAAAATATATTTTAACACAATCAAATGTCGATAAGTATCCCTTTCATGTTACCACCAACTGTGTATACAAATTTACATGTATTTGCCAAAGCACTTATATTGGTAGGACAGAAAAAAGAGCCTACGTCCTATTCAAAGAACATATTCTAAAAAGTTTAAGGTTTAATGAATTAAAAGCATTCAACAGTGCCACCACAAACCACTCCTGGACACAGGACGTGAAGTCGATACACTGAAGTCTTTCAGGATGTTTAAAATGCAATCAAAATTCAACCTTCTGAAGTTTGCCGAAGCGATAGCAATCAAATGCTTAAAACCAGATCTATATACCCAAAAAGAGGCGGTAATAAATCTTTTTTTGCCCTGGTAACATTAAACACCTTTTCTTACTTATTACGTCATTCAGTATTTCCACTGTTTTTGAAGTTTAAAATTACGTCATTGTCATTTTTCTTCAATTCATAGCTGCCTGATTTCAATTCACATCTTTCTATATTACCATTAATTTATTTTCAGTTGCTTGATTACTCTATGATTATAATCAGGAGTTTTGTGAAGAAGAAGTCCCACAGTAGGACGAAACGGCCGTTCAGTGCTTCCAGGTTTTCCTTGGTGGTCTAGCTTCAATTGACTCACGTTTTCAACTACGGAAATACTCTGTGATTTGTAATCACTATTTCAATGTTCTGGAACTTCCCCCCCCTTTAAACTTTATTTATCCGAATCAAAATTTTTATGACTTTATCAACTCTATCGGAATCTTCGCTACATTATGATATACCTAGTCATATTTAATCACCCTCGTATCTATAAGTATGTCAAATATATGTAATAACGTAGATTTTCAAATATTTTAGGTTGTAAGCAGCTGATGAGAGCCTAACGAAATAAAATGAATTCATAGCATTCTGCACCAATCCTTATTCTTGGTTTATTTAAGATAATAAAGGGCAATATATAAACATCGTAAACATTGAACATGTTAGTGGCTTTCTAGATTCAATAAACAAGTGGATAACGCTTTGAGGTTTGATGCAAATCGTATCGTAGTTATGTTTCAATATATCAATAGGATACAGGTACATGCACTTAATGAGTACCGAATAGGACAAAACTAGCATACTGTTTACCACAATTCATCTAATCTATAATCTTATTTTGTTTCGTGTTTTAAGATTATGATTTATAAATGTACCAAGAAACATAATAGTTGTCCATTTTTACAAATGTATAGTCGTAATATACACGTAATAATCTTTTTCTTGATAAATTCATGTTCCCCCCATTTACTTATTTGTATGTTTCAAACTACGATTCCTTGTAAACTGATAAACATAGTTTATTGTTTTTGTTTTTCTTCTGTTTTCAATGCCAACATTCAATAAACATTATCTCACTTGGTGTTGTTTACTTGTATCTTCCCATTGTTGTTTAGTACTGCAATTGATCAGTCTCTTGCAAACAACATCAAATGAATTTAGCTTCACTCTATTGCGCAAACAGGTGGCTATGAGGACTCAGTATCTAAGCGGATAATGTAATGGCGTTCGAAGCAAACGATATGGGGTTCGAGTCCCGGAGTGAACATCAACTCTGAGATTCAGGTACATCCAGCTGACGAGTCCCAAATAAGATGAAACTCGCTTACTGGATTCCAATACTAACCACTATCCAACATTTTCTAGTTGAAAACAATATAAGTAAAGCTTATAACATCGAAAGGCAAAGCAAGGACAGCATTCCTACAATTGAAGAACATATGGAACTCAAAACAACTCTCAACCAATTTCAAGGTCAGAATCTTTAACACGAACGTCAAGACAGTCCTACTGTATGGAGCTGAAACGTGGAGAACTACTACGGCCATCATCAGGAAGGTACAAGTATTTATAAACAGTTGTCTACGCAAAATACTCAACATCCACTGGCCGGATACTATCAGCAACAGCGTTCTATGGGAGAGGACAAACCAGCTTCCAGCTGAAGAGGAAATTAGGAAAAGACGTTGGAAGTGGATCGGACATACATTAAGGAAATCACCAATGTGCATCACGACTCAATCCCTAACTTGGAATCCGGAAGGGAAGCGGAAAAGAGGAAGGCCAAAGAACACACTTCGCCGGGAAATAGAAGCCGATATGAAAAGGCTGAATAGTAACTGGAAAGAACTGGAAAGGAAGGCTCAGGACAGAGTTGGATAGAGAATGCTGGTGTGTGGCCTATGCTCCTCGACGAGGGGTAACAGGCGTAAGGAAGTAAGTATAACATCAAAAATAACTGGTCATGAAACTAATTGTACATTAAGAGAAAGTTAAAAAAGAATTTTAATCCTGATAATTTCATTTGATGAAATTCTACAATCATATTTTTAATTATTTAATGCATGTAGGATAGTTGTAGGTAGTCAGTTGGAAATTTTGAATAACCTCAATTTTAATGCTGTTTGCTTCTCAAACTTACTAGCTTCATTCAAATCTTCACTCTACCCATAATGATACACTGATATAGTTAGGTCAATTTCCATGATAATTTTGTCTTGAAAATATGATAAGTTGTCAGTAGATGTTAATACTGACTTTCTTCATGATGATAGAAAGAAATATATGTATGGAATAAAGCTTGCCTTTCGTTAGCAATAGATTCTTAAAGATCGTTTTCAATCAAGACAATACTCACAAGATAAACATATGCCAAAAAAGAGAGACTAATTAATTGCATTCCATAATATCAATGAGAAGATTAAACTAATAAAAATGGATCAATAAAATGAGTTTGTAGGTATCATTACCAAGTTTTGATTTGATAATTTTGAATAAATTGAGCATTGGGTAGATTGTTATAAATAAATGTAAACCTATAGAAGTGAGTGTATTGGCAGGCAGAGAGTCTTTTTCTATACACGCTTCTAATTAACGAGCCATAGAAGACCCTCTGCCTGCCAATACACTCACTTCTATAGCTTTACACTTATCCATTGTAAAAGAAATTTGGTTAGATGCCTCATTAGTATAGCAAAAAAAATCTGTTCTGTTATAAATAAATTAATATATTTGTAATATGCCAATGAGTAGAAAAATTATATTTTCTGACGTTTCGTGACTCAGTGTAAGTCACTTCTTCAGAGAAAATATACAACCAATTTAACATTAATCCAAGTTTAAATAATACAACGG